CACAATTACTTCTTTAGCTTTTTGATCTCATGTATGTCGTATCAAACCACCAAAATACGTCATCAACATATAATAACATGATGCTGTAAAAGGATTTAAACAACTTCAGGTTGCTACAATGATCACTCTCACATCTTGTGTACCCATTTATCGTCATGAAGTCATCAAAATTCAAATACCACTTCCTTAGAGATTACTTTAACCCATACAAGCTTTTCTTTAATTACACAAAAAATTTTCTTTCTCCAGTTACCTAGAAATTATGTTTGTGCCATTTAGATATCTTTATCAAGGTCACCATACAAGAACGCCGTCTTCACACTCAGATACTATAGATGTAAATTTTTGTAGTGACGATTCCAAAAACCATACTGATTGTAGTCATTTTCACAACTAGTGAAAAAAATTCATTGTAATCATTTCCTTCCTTTTATTGGAACCATTCACCACCATACTAACCTTGTATCTCTTGCTTCCATCGATCTCATCTTTGACCTTGAATACTTACATATTCTTAAATGCCTTCTTTTTCATGGTGGTTTGACTAAGGCCCAAGTCTTGTTTATATCAGATGTGATTAGCTCATCCTTTACGGACTTCTTCCGCTATATAGAGTGTTTCATCCTTAAGGCTTCAAGATAAGTTTCTAGCTCTCCATTTTCGGTTAGTAATAAATAATTTGCCGATGAAAATATCTACTAGATGGCTTATTTCTCGAATGGGCCTTCAGGGAATTCCCGAAGTTGCTGGCTTAGTGGCTGCGTTTTCACCATCTTCGACATCAATGCCTTCATTTGAGGCTTCACTTCCACTCACCCCATTTTTTTTCCAGATATGTGTGAGCTCCTATAGGTTCTAGAATCTTTTCCTATCTTAGTGATATTGGAAGGATTCACAATCGTTTCGTCATAAATCCTATCTAAAACCATTTTCTTTCTGCCTTCAGATTTCTTAGTTTCGCTGGAGGTAGCAACAAGATCATCTTCGTAAAGTGCATTCTCATTTATTGTCATATACCGACTTCGGATAACCCTTTTGATGTTGTTATCCCTAAAGCGGTACCCAGTGCATCCAAGCTGTAGCCAATGGCGATGCACTTCTTTTCCTTCACCTCTAACTTGTCTCCATTGGCGGTGACTTGTGTGAAATGAAGTACCAAAATACATAATCTAGGATTCAATCAAACTCTATGCACAATAAGTAAAGACATAATCAAAATCCTCTCCCACACAATCAAAATCCTCCCCCTTTTCAGGATCTTCACCTCTCTCTTCATTACTCAATAAACTATTGGAACACTCCGACATTTTTCTTGTGGATATCCTCACAAATGATCAAATCACAAATGCTTTCAAGTGTGAGCATAGTGGTTCTGGATGAACTACTAACTGCTGTGATTACAATCACAACCAACTTTTTGGTAGTGAAGATAATAACAAAAGTCTTAAATGTGCTTTTCTCCTTTATCGCACGACTCCCCATGTGCTTTTCTCTGAATTCACATGACTCCCCACGTCACCGAGTCATCATCAATGAATCCTTCTAGCATGACTTTATGCCTTTTGAAACGTAAGGCTATGTTCAAAGTTCCTTTCAAGTAGCAAAGAAGCCACTTGAATCCTTCCTAATACTCCTTGCCCATATTTGATATAAATTTGCTCATAACTCCCACTACATGAGGAATATTTGGTAGAGTGCATACCGTTGCATACATCAATGTACCAACTATTGAGGCATAAGGCACCTTCACCATTTTTCTTTGTCTTCTTTCATCTTCGAGGATTTGATTCTTGGAGAGTTTCAGATAATTCCCAAGAGGCGTGCATATGATGTTAAACATCTGTCATGCTTAACTACTATAATATTTCCTGAATGTACTATTGTTCGGAGAGTTTTAGAGTCCTCACAACCTTATCTTTGACTCTGCTCATGCCCATAATTTTCTTAGCAGGCCCTAAGTCTTTCATCTCAAAATCTCTACACAATTACTTCTTTAGCTTTTTGATCTCATGTATGTCATATCAAACCACAAATATGTCATCAACATATAATAACATGATGCTGTAAAAGGATTTAAACAACTTCAGGTTGCTACAATGATCACTCTCACATCTTGTGTACCCATTTATCGTCATGAAGTCATCAAAATTCAAATACCACTTCCTTAGAGATTACTTTAACCCATACAAGCTTTTCTTTAATTACACACAAAATTTTCTTTCTCCAGTTACCTGGAAATTATGTTTGTGCCATTTAGATATCTTTATCAAGGTCACCATACAAGAACGTCGTCTTCACACTCAGATACTATAGATGTAAATGTTTGTAGTGACGATTCCAAAAACCATACTGATTGTAGTCATTTTCACAACTAGTGAAAAAAATTCATTGTAATCATTTCCTTCCTTTTATTGGAACCATTCACCACCATACTAACCTTGTATCTCTTGCTTCCATCGATCTCATCTTTGACCTTGAATACTTACATATTCTTAAATGCCTTCTTTTTCATGGTGGTTTGACTAAGGCCCAAGTCTTGTTTATATCAGATGTGATTAGCTCATCCTTTACGGACTTCTTCTGCTATATAGAGTGTTTCATCCTTAAGGCTTCAAGATAAGTTTCTAGCTCTCCATTTTCGGTTAGTAATAAATAATTTGCCGATGAAAAATATCTACTAGATGGCTTATTTCTCGAATGGGCCTTCAGGGAATTCCCGAAGTTGTTGGCTTAGTGGCTGCGTTTTCACCATCTTCGACATCAATGCCTTCATTTGAGGCTTCACTCCACTCACCCCATTTTTTTTCCAGATATGTGTGAGCTCCTATAGGTTCTAGAATCTTTTCCTATCTTAGTGATATTGGAAGGATTCACAATCGTTTCGTCATAAATCCTATCTAAAACCATTTTCTTTCTGCCTTCAGATTTCTTAGTTTCGCTGGAGGTAGCAACAAGATCATCTTCGTAAAGTGCATTCTCATTTATTGTCATATACCGACTTCGGATAACCCTTTTGATGTTGTTATCCCTAAAGCGGTACCCAGTGCATCCAAGCTGTAGCCAATGGCGATGCACTTCTTTTCCTTCACCTCTAACTTGTCTCCATTGGCGGTGACTTGTGTGAAATGAAGTACCCAAATACATAATCTAGGATTCAATCAAACTCTATGCACAATAAGTAAAGACATAATCAAAATCCTCTCCCACACAATCAAAATCCTCCCCCTTTTCAGGATCTTCACCTCTCTCTTCATTACTCAATAAACTCTTGGAACACTCCGACATTTTTCTTGTGGCTATCCTCACCAATGATCAAATCACAAATGCTTTCAAGTGTGAGCATAGTGGTTCTAGATGAACTACTAACTGCTGTGATTACAATCACAACCAACTTTTTGGTAGTGAAGATAATAACAGAAGTCTTAAATGTGCTTTTCTCCTTTATCGCACGACTCCCCATGTGCTTTTCTCTGAATTCACATGACTCCCCACGTCACCGAGTCATCATCAATGAATCCTTCTAGCATGACTTTATGCCTTTTGAAACGTAAGGCTATGTTCAAAGTTCCTTTCAAGTAGCAAAGAAGCCACTTGAATCCTTCCTAATACTCCTTGCCCATATTTGATATAAATCTGCTCATAACTCCCACTACATGAGGAATATTTGGTAGAGTGCATACCGTTGCATACATCAATGTACCAACTATTGAGGCATAAGGCACCTTCACCATTTTTCTTTGTCTTCTTTCATCTTCGAGGATTTGATTCTTGGAGAGTTTCAGATAATTCCCAAGAGGCGTGCATATGATGCTAAACATCTGTCATGCTTAACGACTATAATATTTCCTGAATGTACTATTGTTCGGAGAGTTTTAGAGTCCCCACAACCTTATCTTTGACTCTGCTCATGCCCATAATTTTCTTAGCAGGCCCTAAGTCTTTCATCTCAAAATCTCTACACAATTACTTCTTTAGCTTTTTGATCTCATGTATGTCGTATCAAACCACAAATATGTCATCAACATATAATAACATGATGCTGTAAAAGGATTTAAACAACTTCAGGTTGCTACAATGATCACTCTCACATCTTGTGTACCCATTTATCGTCATGAAGTCATCAAAATTCAAATACCACTTCCTTAGAGATTACTTTAACCCATACAAGCTTTTCTTTAATTACACAAAAAAATTTCTTTCTCCAGTTACCTAGAAATTATGTTTGTGCCATTTAGATATCTTTATCAAGGTCACCATACAAGAACGTCGTCTTCACACTCAGATACTATAGATGTAAATTTTTGTAGTGACGATTCCAAAAACCATACTGATTGTAGTCATTTTCACAACTAGTGAAAAAAATTCATTGTAATCATTTCCTTCCTTTTATTGGAACCATTCACCACCATACTAACCTTGTATCTCTTGCTTCCATCGATCTCATCTTTGACCTTGAATACTTACATATTCTTAAATGCCTTCTTTTTCATGGTGGTTTGACTAAGGCCCAAGTCTTGTTTATATCAGATGTGATTAGCTCATCCTTTACGGACTTCTTCCGCTATATAGAGTGTTTCATCCTTAAGGCTTCAAGATAAGTTTCTAGCTCTCCATTTTCGGTTAGTAATAAATAATTTGCCGATGAAAAATATCTACTAGATGGCTTATTTCTCGAATGGGCCTTCAGGGA